ATTGCAATTGGACATGGCGGTAGAAACCATATGGTAAAAGAATTAAGTACAAAATATAAAAATATTACAAGGGAGATGATCATAATTTATTTGAACTTATGTGAAATCTGTCAGAAAAAACAGAATGTTCCTAAGAAAGGCTTGGTAGTCAAACCAATTTTATATAATGAAATGAACTCAAGAATGTCAAGTCGATCTTATCAGTGGCATGTCATCATTGGAAGCGGTGGAAGCGCTTCCCTTGTATTTTCTAAAAAATAAATATATGAATGCCGATACATGTGGATGAATGTAGACAGTTTGAATGAAGTTCACTTGTATTTTCTAAAAAATAAATATGTATTAATTTTAATTATATGAAAATAATTGCACAATATTTTATTATAACCGCATTATGTATCTTATTACAAATTTCTATACTACACATGAAAAAAAAAAAAAGATAAGATTGCTATTGTATATTCGAATATTAGTAGCGGAGTGGAAGCACTGTATTGTCAGCATCCAAAAAGCTGAATTCGCGCATGCACTTTACAGAGCACCAACCTTACCCGGTTTAGTTGGTGGAAGCTTAGGACTTCAGGTGGATGCTACACGTATACCGCATCCAATTCTATCCAGGACCGGTTCTGGGCTGTTAGTCACCTGCCTGCTAGGTATTTGGTTGCCCTCGCCTGATTATGTGAATCACAAATAGATTTATAACTTAACCCAACCAATAAGAATTTACTGGTATGTTTTTATGATAGTTCTGTATAGTTGACAGGAGTTTTAAAAAATTCATTAAAATATTTGATATTTTTATTCCGCTTTCCGATTTTATATTAATCACGGATTTCAGTGTTAAACAGATTACGATTTCGTATATCCCATCTTTAAGGCGATGTAGAAAAAAAACGTGTACACTTCTTGTATAATGTTAAAAAATTAACTGTTACTTTGACAGCGTCATTTACAACTAAATTTAATGAATGAGAGAGATGCACGAGGTATAGAAAAAGCTCTAGAATTTATATTTCTTAAATTTACAATTTATATATCCGTTGTCATAAAAATTTGTCTTTCCACTTTTTCCCGAGACTACAAATATTCGAGTACAAAGTAACCAGTTTCGACTTATTTCTACTTAAGAAGTAGTTAAATAACTAAGTGATTAGGGAAGTGGGGACACAAATAAAACCCTGCTGAAAGAGCCTGAATTTTACTTAAACAAAAGCTTAACCGAGTACAGTGTGGACTGATTTCTTCGTGATATTAGATGTAATAAAGACAGAAATTTTTCCAGTTCAATGAAAGTGACTAAAAGTTGTAAATTTTGGAAATTTCCATGGACACCTGGTCCTAAAACGAATTGGTTAGAAAACAAATGACTATTAAGTTTAACAAATTTAGATTTTTACAGCTATAGTGAGAAATGTTTAAAATTTACAACAACCCTGTTGCGTCCTTTGATTTTTACTAGTGATGTGACAAAAGAGGCATTTGACATTAACCAGTATCGGCATCCTCAGGATTTGGCAAGCATGCACGCACCGCACACCTACCAAGACCGTCTCTGATTCCATCCATAAGCCACTGGTAGGGAGCAATTTTAACTAGGTGGATTATTTTAATATTTAAAAAGTAAAGACTATTTTATGTTATTTTTATGTATGTTTCTTCACAAAACTATATTTATTTATAATTTTCTTTAAAAGTATATTCATACAATTGAATATTTTGTACCAGGTATGTATAATTGTACAGTATATCTATCACACATTTTATTTTAACAAGTAAGTTTTTATAATTTTATTTCTAATTTTAGCACTTATATCATGGCTAGCAATTCAGAATGTAATTGTGATATTGAAAATTTATTTTAAAAAAGTTTTGGCTCAAGATCATGTAATGAAAAAGAAAACATTATTAAAAGAGAAAGGCCAATGCCTAAGTTAAATATAAACACTTCAAAAGAAAATTTGTTCAACATTTTCATGATAAAATGGCTCTGTAAATGCAAAAATGCAAAAATTGTTTTGTTGGCTTTGCCTACTATTTTCAAGTGAAATTAGTGTGTGGAATAAGAATGGCTTTGACAATTTAGCTGCCAAAAGACATGAAAAATCGTCGATTCTTTTATATTTGAAGCAATTTGGAAATCAAAGCAGAATAGAATTTAATATTAGTAAATAATATAAAATAAATATTGAAAATTATAACGAGATAGTTACGGCTAATAGATATATTTAAATTAATATATGTTATTTGTTATATCAAAGCAAGAATCGGCATTTAGAGGGCATAGGGAATCTATTGAATCTAATAACAGAGGTAATTATATTGAACTTTATTAATAACTATTTATTAATTACATCAGATAAATAATCTATTAAAAATACATTTAAATACATTAACTGATCACCCTTGGAAGTCAGCTTCTTACAGAAACACAGCTTCCCTATCATCAAATGTCACAGCACGCTACTGGATCTTATAGATATGCAGTCGCAAGCTGATAAGCAATATAAATTTATACTCATGTATCAAGACCATCTAACTAAATTCGTTCAACTATGATTGTTAAAAACCAAAAGGGCTGAAGATGTAGCATATGTTATTTTAGACATTTTTACAATTTTCGGTGCACCAAGTATTCTACAAAGCAATAACAGCAGAGAATTTGCCAATATCATCATTGAAGAAATGTTGAGTTAAAAATGGTGCATGGAAAGCTGAGGCACTCACAAAGTCAGGGTTCAGTAGAAAGATGTAATCAAGACGTAGAAAATATGCTTAGTTCTTCATTGGATACTAACGATACTGAAAAATGATCAGAAGGATTATGTTTTGTACATCTGCTGAAAAATCGAGCACATCATAGTGGTATAAACTGCAGTTCCTATGAGGCCATGTTTAGAGCAAAGTTAAAAGTTGGACTGAAGAATTTTATACCCAACGAATCATTGACCAACATCAATGATTCGTTGGGTATAAAATTCTTTAGTTAATATGGAGGCGGATCTAGAGAGACTTTTTAAAACTGTCAATGAAGTAAGTCAAAGTTGCTCAAACTCTAAAAGATCAGGTACCATCCAAGAAAAACATTATGAAAGATTATTTGATAATGCCACCCTCACATAGCAATATAACTGATCAAGTTCAAAGACCTACATCGTCTTCATAAGAAAAAGATCTAAACCAGGATGTTATTAGTATTACAGAATTGGTGAAAGAAGAAAACATCCAAACAGTTGATCCAAAAATAGAAGAAAAAATAAGAAGTATGTCTAAAACAAGGAAAATAGCTTTGTTTAATTTTAAAAAGCAAGCAGAAAAAATGATTGATACATCAAATTCCAAATACACAACAGCTAATGTTGGTGATACAGTAAGGATTCGTGTACCAGATGTAGATCGAGCCCGCAGTAATGGATAAAATATTTTAATTGTCGTTGTTGCGGTTAAAGATAAAACCTTTACAAACTGGGTACCAAACATGGCATATTAAATCTATTATATTCCAGAAACCAGTTTACTGTTTGTAAAGAAAACTTCATTTCTGTTGGAGATGTACCGGGTGCAGAAATTTTGCTTAGTGAATGTGCAAGAATGTCATCAATTTCTGGAGGCTAAGACATAAGATATGCAGTCGCAAGCTGATAAGCAATATAAATTTATACTCATGTATCAAGACCATCTAACTAAATTCGTTCAACTATGATTGTTAAAAACCAAAAGGGCTGGATTTCCTGTTGATACTGCTGCAAAATTGGTTGCAAATCTAATAGATGCAAATTCTACAAAGAAAAAAAACATGTAATTCCAAATGTCATCAAAATCTTAATTGCTTGAATAAATAAACTAAAAAACATTTAATTTTTTATATAATTTATAACAAAAATGAAATTCCAGAAGTTTCCTGTAAGTTGATTTTTTGATGGAAGTATGAATTTGTTAATAATATTTTTCATTAATATTAGTTTAATTAATACAGTTAATAGTACATACTTTTAAAAGATTACATGTTCTTTTTAAAATACTTTGAACTAATTCACAATAAATAAATAATTCTAAGTGAGTTTTTTTAATCAAATTGCTCGAAGGGAATATAGCTTTATTCTTAATGTCTGGTCAATTTAATAAGTTAATCAATACTTATCAAACTGCGCACCCATTTTAGTCATTATTCAAAAAGGCTGGGCATTATGAGTAATATCCTAATAATCACTTGGTCCATAACATATATGTGGGGGGACCCAAAAATAACCAGATTTTTTGTATAAAAACTTTATTTATTAACTTTTTTATAAAATTTCTTCAGTCACCTTCAAAGTACTCTCCATTAGATGCGATGCATTTGTGAAGTCTTTTTCCCCACTGTTTGAAGCATCTCTGGAACTCTTCAACCTTGATATCGTCCAGTGCCTTTAGCAAAGCTGTTTTTACCACCTCCACATCATCAGAACGCTTCCTTTTTAGATTTTTCTTCATTCTCAGAAACAGAAAAAAGTCGCACAGGGCTAGGTCTGGTGAATACAGAGGGTGGGGTGAGTCACTCATAAGGCCGTGTGTGCAGGGGCATTGTCGTGATGAAGGAACCAGTCACCTGATCGCCAAAGTTCCAGGTATTTCCTTTGCACATCCTCTCGCAGACATCTTAACACACTTTTGGCGGATTTTTTCAACGTTTTCATCATTTTGAGATGTTGAAGGACGCCCAGAACTTCATAGGTGGAACAAAATAACAGTAAGAGAAACACAACACTATGCTGAAATGTAAACCTACAAACTGACGCTGTTTGCACAGCTGTTTCGTGAAGGTCTCTACTAACCCATGTAAAGGGAGAACTCTCTACTATGTCTATGAATGGCAGCACACTCTCAGTTCAGTTTTTTTTTGGGGGTCCCCCTCATATGCATATATATATAATTATTGTATTAATATTATTATTTTAAGATTTATTTCTTTAATTCATTTTCATTATTTATGAAAAGTATCCTTTTTCTTTCTTTTTTAGATTATGTTATTCATTTTGATGCAAATGGTCTACCTTTACCAAACTATGTTATAGCTGGTATTGATAAAAGGTAATGTAATATAATATAATTTTTAAAAGTATGATTTTTGAAAGGTTATATTTTACTGAAAAAATAAACGTTTGTTTTAATCTATTTTATATAGTTTGATAGAAAATATAACATCATTATAAATAATAAAAGAGCACAGAATTCAATTACAAAATGCAGTCAGACTTCAGTTTAGCAACACTATTTGTTTATCTGAAATTTGCACTAAATCAAGTGTATTACTAAACTGAATCAAACAAGAATTACATCTAGTAATGAAGTTTACATATGAATTAAGAGTTTGATAATGATGTATGCAATATAAAATCATATATTTAGTAATTCACAGATATTTATTTAATATTTTGAGCAAAGATTCATTCACTAGTATTCATTAGCATTTTGGGGGGTAGTTTATGAGCACAATGTTGAAGTTTGACTGTAAACAGAATAGAAAATAATCAGATTCAAATTTATTTAGAAATTTATATTAAAGTAAGCATTCAATGATGGGATAAACAATCTTTTCTTGAATTTATACACATGCCAAAACAATTTTTGCTTAGACAGTTTAGTAGCCTACCAGTGGCCAAGTGGTCTTCATACTCTGAACACTGGGAGTTCGGTTATAGGTTTGTGCCTCGCTTGGATGGGCTGGCCATGTGGAGTTTTCCAGGTTTTCTCCATGTCTGTAATGCCTAAATAGGAGCCAGTTTCCATTAAAAAAAACCTCCCAGAAGACACCCCCCAGTCAGATCGCCCAAGTGTTGTGTTGCCATAACTTAACAAACAACAAACTAATAATACATTTAACTAATAATACATATCATCTGATATACTCAATCATGTAGCTCCTCTTGAGTTAAAAATTACAACAAAGTAGTTCCAGTGCATCTTCAGTCTGTTAGGGTGCGACTATGCAGACGCGAGCGAATTTTCCAAGCAAGAGAGAATATGTGGCGAGAAGCGATAAATATCAAAACCTGTCAGATATGTGCGAGAACCAGAAATTCGCTCTTGCCAGCATTATTTCTCACTTCTCGTTTGTGCATGGTTTTCCTTTGTGAAAATTAAATCACTCACAACCTCTCACTCGCTCTAAATTCGCATCTGCATAGTCGCACCCTTAAACCATGCCTAAAATTACTGAATTATGACCACTTGTCAGATTATTTGGTCTCTAAAATACATAACTAGTTACATAACTAAAATACATTACATAACTAGTTACTCAAATGCAATACAGATAAGATAATACATAAGGTAACCTATATATAATAGGTCCCTGTCATTTGCAACAAATATGTCCCAAGACCCTTCATACAAAAATGGCAAACTCCATTAATTATTTAGTAATTCCTGTACTGACATAGTTATATCACTTGTTTATTCACTTTATTTATATAAAAATTATTTTATAAAAATATAGCATGATACCATAAATCATAAAAATAATTTTAATATTCTCTCTCTTTCTCATGTTTACAAAATAATTTGTGCAAATGAAACAAAGAGAATGAGTGAAATGCTGTGAGATTTCACATCTTAAATAACGGCATGGATTTAGTGCACAACTAAGAATTCTTATTTTATCCCCTTTTTTTCCTTTTTGGATTGCCAACAGTGTAAACCTGAAACCATGTATGGAAAGTTTGCATAAGGTAGGGTCCCACTGTACTGTACATTCATAATAAACAATTTAACATTCATGGAAAGAAAAAGAAAAACATTAACTAAGTAATTTTATTTGTCTTCTGTATGACTTCTCTTATTCTTGGACACGGATGTGCTGAATTTGGTCTTTGTAAACTTCTGTCTAATATATGACTTTCTCTTCCATTTTTATAGTGACATTGAAAATTATCTGCCTTAGAATTTTTCTGTATTTGCTTAGGAAGGAAGGTTATTTCTTACAGAAAAATTATTATAATGATTCCAAGTAACAACATAATTGCTACCTTTCAGTCCAGTTAAATTACTGTTTGCACTTCTTAAAATGTCAAATTCTACTACTTCATCTACATTTCATATCTTTTTTTTTTATAGATTATTTCTTATTCTGCTGTAAAAAGAAATTAACACTTTTTATTTCTATCATGACAGATGTATAAAATCATATTAAGTTTTGCATTAAACCATTTTATAGTCTCAAAAATTCTTGACTCAATTATTTTCTTCAGTTTTCTCTTTGAAAGTCCATACTCTTTAGATAGTTCAATGGCTAAGATGGTTAAGATGACAGTCTATTTCTTTGAGGATCCAGAATCAAGTCTGAGCAAGCAGTTTCCAGAAATTTTTTATCTATCACATATATATCAGGCCTGTCTCTTACCATCCAGTTGCTCTTATTGTGGTTATTATTAAAAATATTTTAGTCCCCAAAGTGAAATGAGGCAAGTATGAAAGAAAAATTCTTAGATGGCAATAAATTCTTATTCATAGTAAATAGAACTCGTTATCAAAACCTGAATCTTGATGGAAGTTTTATCACCTAAAAGAAAGAGGAGCATTGTGTTAATGTAGCATCATTTGTTTTTTAAAAGATTGTTGTAGGTGAACTTTTAATCTTTTGTAGAGAAATTTCTCAGGAATAAAGTCTCTTTATTAGAACAGTTGTGTCCAATATTGGATGAAGAGACATTGCTAAATAGTTTTCTCCACAATAAAAAACTAAGTTTTTTTAGCATTTGATTCTGTCATGATAAGTTTGTCTGTTTTGCTATTTCATTGTCTACTAGGAAATTTCCTTCATTTACTAGTCCAACTAATCCTTTGACTTCATTTAATTGGTTAACACCTGGAGTGTCAGTACATTTAGGGATCTGAGAACAATTCTTAGCAAAAGTTGTATCATTCCACAGATATTCTAGCCAAATCTGTTCTAAAGTTTGTTTTACAATTTTTATTCCAGTTTTTCATGAAAGTACACAAGCTACCTTCTTATTTGAATCATAAGACTCTTCTCTGCAAATCTCTGCTTTAATTTTCAAATTCTTCCTATCAGATTCATTGAATAATTTTAAAAACATAATTACTGATTCAATAATGTTGGGCAGCTTGCCATTCAATTGATTCCTAATCTCATTAATTACAAATACATAATTTCATCCCACCATAAATTTTTGAAATTAAAAAAAAAACCTCATTTTATGCTATATTATCTGTCATAACATCTCTAATAATTCCTTTAAATGTTCCTGGATTAGTACAGAAATGAAGTATATAGTATGTGCTGTTGTTAACTGAAATTCTATAAATTTTCATTCCTTATTATGATTATTATTTTCTAGTATTTACAAATTAGTTTTTAATGTAGAACAAGCTGGGTTATAATTTTAATTACCATATCAAATAAGAAAGTGTTGTGTAGTACTTGTTACATTATGTACAGATATACCTAATTTTAAACCTGTAATAAGTTGGCCTACATGAAAATAATGTCTTGTTCAAATTCAAATATGCTACGTAAGTCTACTATAGTAGCATATTTGCTTATAGATATATGATGCCTTATTATGCAGACATTTGGCCACCTTTGCTTTTTATAAATGTATATATTTGCATATTCTATTTTGAAATTTATTAACAAGAATTTATTATTTTCTTTTCTTATATTAGGGTAGCCATTGTTATTCATGTGCCCGAACATTATTGTCTTGATAGTGAGGTTTTGATCGGATTGCAGGCAACCAAATTACGACAGTTGAAAATCTTAAATTTTCATGTTGCTGAACTGGAGTATAACATCATAGAACGACTAAGAAATTCTCCGAAAGAAAGGCATGAATATATAAAATCAAAGGTTGTGATGCCTTTTATGTTTTTGAAAGAAACATAACTTCTACAAATAAATGTATTTTTCTGTATATTTAGTTTAATATAATAAACAGAAAATGTTATAAAATTTTAAAATAAATTTATATAAGAGTGAAAAAAACAAGCATATTTTAGCACAAACTACGTTGAATATTTTTGTTGTTTTGAATGAAACGTTTTCTAATTTATATACATGTTAAAAAGATTAGTTTGCATGAAATAGTTTAAATGACTATTAATATATAATTGGTGAATTTATGTGATTAAAAAAAGCTTTTTTGCATTTAAAAATTTTATTCACTAAAAAGTTGGGCTATAGAATTGGTAACCAAGCCCTTGATTCAGAATTTTAGAAAGTTTGACTTCAACTCCTGCTTCTAAATAATAATTTAAAACATGATTATATTAACTCAAAATGCATTTCACTATCAAGTGAATCATTAGGCATTTCTATCAAAATTGAAACTACTTATATTTTTTCATAGATCTTTTCATTATCACCATTATTGTCTTTATCTTCAACCATACATTGATGCACAATATTTTCCATTTTTAGTTAAAGTATTCAAAAATACTAGATTTAATGTGAGTTTTCATAGCCATTTTGATGATAAAAATTTCACATTAGCTAACACAAAGTATTTGAATACATAAATTTCTGAAAAGAAAATCAAAAGTATAGTGATATGCAAAGAAAGATTGTGAAGTAGAGGAATCATCATAAAATAGGAGCCTCTTATAATACAAGATCATATCAAGCTTAATATAAAGTATGATACATAATGAGCAATTACTTATTGTGACATCATTACAATGCCAGGCTGCAATTTTTAATTTATTTAACTTAAAATATATGCCTTCCATCTCAGATTAGTAATGGCTTGCCCCAGTACATCATACTTTTTCTTTAACAATAGAGTCCTGCCGGTCATCTGTCTAACACCTTTCAGGGAAAGATTTTTGAATTGAAATAACATGACTTCCAGTTTACATCAGAAATTCATATATAGTTAATTGGGGTCTCCTGCCCTAATGTTTTCATATCTGGTCTCGTCTTTCATCTATCTAACTCTGTTCTTGAGATTAAGGAAAGATAGATAGGTGACAATGAGAATTTATAGATTAAAAATTTTTTCAAATTGCAGCCCAATAAAAAACAGTCAGTCCATTTTTACTAACTTCTAGCAATGAATTTGCTTCTGGCTGCAACTCCACAGTCCTACTAAAAAGCAAGTTGTTTGTAACAATGCTCCCAACTTATCAATTTGACAAAATTTTCATTTAGTTTTTTTTTGTGTGTGTGTATTTGCATACATAGAAAATCATCAAGATATCAGAAAACTGTCAAAATTTAATATATATATATATATATTATATTTGATATACATATATATATCACAATAAAACCATTTGTGTGTGTATATATATATCAAATGGTTTTATTGTGTATACTTTTNTATATACACACATACATATTAGACTGACAGGTTTTTTGATATCTTAGAGATATTTCTTAAGATACAGTAACTTTAAATTTTTAATTTAAAATTAAATTATTTGGTTATTTCTTTATAATTATAAAATTATTTTATATAATAATTAGCTTATGAAAAATTATTTTCTCATTTATTCATAATGAAAATTAATTGTTAACAGATTGTTATAGACAATTTGTAAAGTACAATAAGTTCTTGGTTTTTAGATTATCTATAATTTAAATTCATATTTTAATAACAAACAATGTCCTAACTTATGTCATGGTTTTGACATTACACATTTACAGTAGTGTAGTGGCCAGAAGTAAATCAGAAACAAACAAAAATGGTCCAAGGTGTTATGAAGTGATGAATCTAAATTCAATGTCTTTTCTAGTGATGGTATATGATACATCAGATGACCAGTGAACAAGAGATATGACCCAAAATACACAGTTCCTACAATAAAGCATGGTGGTGGCTGCATAATGGTATGGGGATGTTTCTCTGCAAAAGGAATTGGTCCAATTCATAGAATTATGAAATAATGGATCAAACCATTTATTGGGATATATAGCAGAATCAAATGCTTCCTCATGCACATTGTTCAATGCTAAGGGGATGGATCTTCCAACAGGACAACAACCCAAAGCACACAGGAAATTTGGTAAAGCAATGAAGCAATGGTTTCAACAGAAAAGGATGAATCTTATGACATGGCCAGTCCAATTGCCAGACCTAAACCCCATAGAGAATCTTTGAGATGAAGTTGAGCTCCATATATGCCAGAATACATATTTGAATCAGGATGAATTGTGTTCTGCCATCCAAAAAGCATGTTATGAGATTTCTCAATCAGTGCTTGACAACTTAGTTGATTCAATGGAATGTAGATGTGATGCAGTGATCAGAAGCTCTGGTTACTAATATTTTGTCCTAAAAATACTGGACAAATCTGCATATTTGGTAGCTCTACGTTTGTCACAGTGTAAATTATGAAAACTTAGATTTTATTTTAAATCTGATTTACAAAAGAAAAAACAGTTTGATTCAATTGAGTATTTTGACTCTTTTTTGTGTTTTTTTCAACTATCACAATATTAATTATGTAGTAGGTGATCAATAAAATAGAAGTCACATTTTTAAAACATGGCCAAAAGTAGAGCTACCCTTGACATACTATTGTATATTATGTGCAGTACATAATAATAGATCTTATTATTAATGCTCTTAATAATAATAAACCATTATCCAAATAAGTCTTACCCATTGTTTAAATGGAAAACTTTTTATTAATGATCACAGATAGGAATCATTTATATACATTTAATAAAAGAAATCAAAAATAATTTATGCTAAAGTCATGATGTTTTAAACTTTGAATTAATATTATACAAAAGTTTGATAGATAAATAAATGCATTTGACTCACAACAGACAGAAATGTACTTATTAAAAATAGAAAAAGAAATCATTTCCCAGATAATCTGATAAAGTTTTAACATTTCAAACTTCTAATCTAAATGATCCATCATCAAAAATATCTGTCTATGGGGATGGAAGTTGTAAGACCTTAAGAATTGAATAAGTCATTCAGAGATAGAGTTCTGGTTGAATTGGCAGAGAATAGCACGAGAAGGATTACCCGTTTGAGAGGATGTGCTATCTCTGTTGTTTCTCAGATGATAAATTTTTCCTTCTTTATCCAATTCATATTAGCTTATTAATACTCATTAGTAAAGAAGAGAGAAAATTAGAAATTTATTTTTATATTGAAATCATTGGGTATTTGCTGCATATATAGTTAGACTTTGCCAAAATTCATTTCTCATTATCTCAGAAAAGCATAGATGTATTTGTTTGCATGCACAAGATAACATAGTGACAAAACATCTTAAAATTGTAATAGTTAAAGATAAGACTTGGGGTTGAGCCTGAATCTAGCCCAAGACATTCATTTAGTCATTTTTAATATAAATATATTAAAAAATATATACAGATAGATAGAACTGTGTAAAGAATTGACAAGTTCAATAACAAAAATTGATTAATGTCATCATTTTGACATCATAAGAAAAATAAAATAGGATTGGTAGTTTTTAGTAAAAAATTTACTAAAAACTTCAAATCATATAATTTATTTAACATAAAAATAATAAAATTTTAGAATGAAAGGAATTATATGTAAATATAATGGAAAAGGGAAGAGAAGTCTGGGAAGGCCTCTAGAATGAAAGGAATTATATGTAAATATAATTCCTTCCCAGACTTGTTTGTATTGTCATTTCTTTTTAGATTTTTATACATTACGTAGAAAAATTATTTTTAAATAATGTTGAAACGATTTCATAAATATTGCAAAACCTTAATTGCATTTTATGATTGGTTATCGAAGATGGTGGTGAAAAACATTCGTGTTCATTGTTATTTTTTGGTACATGCTGCAACAACTTTTTATCACTTGTGCTGTTAAAATGTGTTTTCAACTATACATTTGAATTACACCTAGACCCATTTAAAGTTAAGCATAAGCTTTGACTATGAAGTAAAAAGAAAAGCTTATGCTTGAGTTTAGTATGATAAAAGCTGTTGTGCATTCTGAGTCAAACATAAAACCATCATAAAAATGGCAGGAAATAAGCAGTTGGAATTTTTGTTAAAGTTTTAGAACAATGACTAGTTTTGTGCTACATCCTGATTTTGGGTGCAGATGATGAAAAATAATAATATGGAAATAACTGAAAAACAATCTGACAAAATAAAGCAGGCAATAAAAATAATAATAAAAGAATGGAAAAATAAGTTAATGATGTATTGGATGGAGATAAAAATGTATCTTGTATTCCAATCTCATGTATCTTGTACCAATCTCATGTATCTTGATTTCCTTCTATATTTCTTGATGATATTATTCCCTTCTATTCAGAAAGAATGTCTATAGTTGATTGTCTAATTGGAGAAGTCTCGAACAACACGAGTGGAAAAAATGGCCAGAAAAATAATGGACACCAATCTGTTTTACTCTTGCCTTCAACGGCCAATTATAAAATGGACCATTTTCCTTCAGAAGACAAAGAAACCAGAAATCTAACCAATGCTCAATTGCAAAGACATACAAGCTGTTATCTGATCAACTATCCAAATTTTCAGAATACTGACTTAAAAATTGGATCTGCTAGATATCACACAAAAATGTTTTTCTTGTTAAGAAACAGCACTGAAAAATTTTGAGGATGAAAATGTTGAATGGATGACAAATCTAAAAATCTTAATAGAATAATCATATTTTCTTACTACTTTTTCTTTTAGCTTTGTCTTGTACTCCCCAAAAATATGTAACATTGTGCACACTTTTTGGTGAATCAAGTCACTATAGTAGTAACTTGAAAATTTTAAATCATTTGCAAACAAAACAAATTGCTAGTGTTTATCATATCACTTTAGCTTTTACTTGAGAAGCAAGTAAACATTTTGTCTTTTACTACTAGTATAAATAAAATCTTTTGCTTACCACATGACCCAATACATATAATTTCTTTTCTTTCACTCTGAAATACAGAATTCTGGAACAGACTGTAAAAATACAGCTTTGCATGCATCATCAGCATAAAGATGTAATATAGGACAAAGTGCAATATTTTTACAGGCATGGTTAAATACAGTAATAGAATTAAAATGGAAAAATATTAAAACACTGATGTTACATTTAAATTTACATAACACAAGTTGGTTGCAAGCATTTTGCAGTTATCACCATAACATGTTAGCCACAACTGTAGTCTCAAATATAATTTTCAGGCATGTATCATTGGGTATTATCAATTTCAGTATATAAAATTATTTGTTTTCATCAATCTGTTTTTAGTAACCACTAAACCAGCACATGCTCAATTAATAAGTTCAATAGTGATTGTACTAATCATTTCTAAAATAAACAGGCTTGGGTAAGACTTGTCACAACACAAACAATTCAAGCTTATATTTGCGGAAAAATTCATAGCTTTGTAATATATTAAATATTTTAGTTGTTATACTTTTAAAAAGAAATCTATATAATTTACAAATTAACAGCAGTATATCAAAATATAAATAAAGGAATTGTATTTTAAAATGGAAATATTTTTTGTATTTAAATCTTGATAAATGATGATATTACTACTAATTTTTAGACGAATTAAAATGAGTTATGTTCCCAAATTTAATCAATTATAAATTTTTATTTTCTTCTATAGTTCTATCCAGTTACATTATTTGACCGTTCACATAAAGTACATCATGTTACGAGACAATTATATAAATATACAAGATAATTATAAAAATATTATGCAATTGACAATACATACAAAGATCTATGTTAAGCAACTTCACTTTCCGAACAGAAAAAACAAAATTTAAATAGATATTTGCATATTTCTTAATATGAAAAAAATTATCAAATTTTAGTGATAATTTATTAGAATTTCTTCATCATGTTTTCCTAAATAAAAATTACAAAAGTAAAAAGAGATTGCAATTTTATTATTATACAATTCATTACTTCAAAATGTTGCATTGCAATTTAGATTAGAATAATTTAAATTTATCTGTTTATAGTAAACATAATATTCTGTCAAAAGATTGTGACAACTTTTTACAAAAACAATTTATTTCTTCTGTGATTCTAGCCAGATGCTCTGCTCAATCAATCACGAAACAAACAGCAATTTAGTTTCGACCACACAAACCGATAATTATGATTTGCATCCTTCTGCAACAGAAATGGTATTGCATTTTGCTATTTACAAATAAGAAATTAAATGACAAAATTTTGATTTATTAACATTTAAAATTAATAATCGATTTCACTTTTGTATATTTCTTACAGAAATGTGTTTTTTAATATATATAGAAGACAATTAAAACAACTGTTTAATAGCTAAAATCAATATAGAATACAGTGCTATATACACAATATTTTTTATTTATAGCTTACATACTTTATAATCAATAAAAAAAATGAATAAAACTACTTAAAAACAATAAAGATACACATAGTTTCCTTAGAGAGAATTTGATGGCATGGCACTTTCCAATTTATAGTTATCTTGTATATTGTAAGACGGCTAAAGTAATTTAGTTGACACTCTTTCGATATTTTTATATTCGCAAAATTTATAAAATCTGAAAAACTTCAAGAAACATACAAAAGAATGAACAAACATACAATTGTATTGTTTATATTATAATAAAAAGTAATTTAATGAAATGAATTTATGATTTAAAATTATGTCCAGATGATTAAAATGTAAATGAAACAAATGCTGTATATTACAAAGTTTTGTCATCGAGTGTAGACGAGTGCATGCAAAATCAAAATATAAATATCTAATTATTTATTTATTTAAATGAATTTATGCATATAATTGTTGTTCAGAATTTGAGTAAAATTAGAAAAAATAATATACAATATTTAGATAATGGATATTTGTATATTATTCATGGGGTTGGGGATTATGATGGGGCATGGTGTGCAAAACTTCATCCAACAGTTGTAATGCCCTGTGCAGATGTACTTCAATCCAGCAGGGAGTCTCTTTTATGCTCTGTCGGGGATAATCAGGTCCCCAACCTTTTACAAAACTTAGGCGTAATATACAAAAACGTCTCAAGTCGTCCACACCGACTCCTGCTGCGGCAGACAAACCTACAACACAAGCAAAAATTATTTGTTTACAATAACAGAATAAACTATATCACTAATAAATTTCAAATTTTAAAATGCATAAAATGTGCATTCAATTTTCTACAATTGAATTGTTTGCAATTTGAGTGTTCCTTGAGAGAATGCAAAAATAAAATTAATAATCTAAAGATAAGTCTATCATAATCTTAAAAATTCCAGTCTTTTCTAACTTTAAATGTTAAAATTACAAAAACTTAAGTCATATCCACTAACAATTTGTTAAATATTTATAGTCTATTTATCATAACTTGGCACCTACTTTAAACAAAGATTTTGTTCTATTAATCTGCTGGAGACTTTCATTGGTCAAATCACAATCAGAAATGGCTCAACATGTGTTGACCAGTTAAGCCCCTTTCTCTGCACGTGTTAATTAATATAGGTCAGAGTTATCACAACAATTTAAAAATTACAGAGATAATACAGTACAGGTAACCCCCGTATAACATGGGAGTTACGTTCCAAAAAATTGCCATGTTATATGAAACAAAGAACTAGTGTGAAAAGGGAGGTTACGTTCTAAAAATTAAAAAGTATGCTGTTAAGTCCTTATTTAAATAAGATTTATTATTCATTTTTTTCATAGGTAAAATACTTATTTATTATTTAAGTAAATATTTTACCAGAGGATTATTCATCCTATATGATGATCTCAGCATGAGCGTCATCAACTGGTAACAGTTTTTGGGTGCGTTCGTTAATAGCGGTTGCTCTGCAACGGGAGTGCACTGCTGTTTGTAGGCATTTAGGAACAACAGTGAAAGAAAGATGGCAGTGCCCGCACTATCGATAGTATCATGATGGAGGAATCTATAATTCTAAAATGAGCTTTTAGAGGCAAAAGGATTCCAATTGTAAAATTTAATCATTAAATGGATTATTGTTGAAAGAGCATTCAAAGTAGTCACAAAAACAATTAGAATGCTCGCACAGAGTTATGCAGAAGTATAAAAGAACGCACCCTTTATTGCATTTCATGTTATACATTACCCAATTCCCAAACCGTGTTAGAGTGAACCCGTACTATAAAACCACCATGTTATACAGGGGATGTTCCCAATTCTCGAACTGTGTTAGAGTGAATCCGTGCTATAGAAGTTTCATGTTATACGGGGGTTATCTGTACTTAGAAAAGTTATTATAGCCTACTTTAACATTTTTATGTAGCCATTTAAATTATTTCCATCGCATAAATATACAGTAGTTTCTACCATTTTCACTATATCCTTCACGCAGATTTCTGGATTCGTTTCAGTTAAAGAATTAAACAAATTTAATACTATTTGTTTATCCGAGCTCCTCAGAGATTTTCCTTGCCGATGTTTACATTCAAGTTTTCCATTTTTGTAATTCAACAACACAGTTTGAAATAACGATAGTTATTGTAATGAATGGAAAAAGAAACAAAAACATTATAGTGCGCATAACAGGAAAAATTTATTTCTAATGATTCAGAATGTGCAAATATTCATTAAAATAACAACTTAACAAATATGAAATAATTATATTTATAATCATTGCTAAGTGACTAGTATTTCATTAATGATTTTATAAATAACAAAGAACTATTTTCTGTGGATGAATGAGATGCAATGCGATTTTTAATTGTATGATTATAACAATTTTGAAAATCCGAAATTTGTGAAACCATTGGATTAGTGTTAGAAAATCTTAATCTGTTGTATTCAATAGACCGCCTGAAGATGGTAGTTATATACTACTGAAAGTACTAGCAGACGAGTTCATTTTCTAAAGTCAGACGAGTTCATTCTCCAAGACTCCACTCCTGTAATGCCACAACACGTTAGTGTTATAATCATATAATAAACGTTGGCGTGAAGTGACATCACTGAACTCACTTCAGTCTTTGTTTCTTAAACAGAAGTGCTTTATGTTTTGGAACAACTTTTAAAGGTCATGAAGTCCAAAAACTTGTACTGTGGGACACATTTACAATTTTTCTTTTTCCACACAGAATGATAATATCTACTTGATTTAAAATGATTCTTAATATTGCCTTTAGTTTACAATCATCTGTCATACTTGTTGAACATTTTCTTTCACAATTTTAATGAATTATTTTATCTTCTTTACAAATGGAAATGTCATTTATCATTTATAATTTTCTTTTCCAAATTCATTTGTTTTAAGATTTTTGATACTGCAGATTGTGAACAGTTAATGATTTTGGCAGTTTTCAATTGAGATTTTGTTCATTTCATAAAATTTGGATAAATTTTCTCATTCCAGGTGATAAGTCTCTCTTCTGTCCCATTGCAATATATATCACACACGTTTATAAGATGTTTTTTGTATTTTGTATAAGATGTATTTTTTGACATGTTTTTGAACATGTCAAAAAATACATCTTTGTAACAACAAGTAATAATAATAATTTTAAATATTTCAATTTTTAGAAACAATAAATGATATATTGCAATTTTTTGAATTTCTTAAAATGACAAATTTAAAAAACTACTTAGCATTTCCAAATACAGTATTTAACCTGTTATTTCACTGTACAGTACTTTCAAAAAAGTACTGTACAGTCAAATAACAGGTTAATTAGATACTTAACAAATTAATAGCAAATATGATTTAAAATTTTATAATTTTTAACATTGAAAGTTTAAAAATTGTAAGATTGTGACGATTTTTTGACACAGAGTTATAGCGTATAGAAAATTATGCAAATCATTGAATATATTATAAATGTATGTTACACATACTAATTAAAGTATTCTCAAAATAACAAAATTTTACCATTATATAGCAGTGATATCTATTGACAAATTCTTATTTTTCAACTGCTTTATATTTTGAAAAAAAAAAAGGAAAAAACATTAACTCAACATTATAGCATCTATAGTGGATTAAATGTTAAAATTATTAATGTTCAAAATAATTAATGCATTTCAAGATGCACGACTTCATTTTTAGCATTTACCCACTGTTTAACTTAAACATTCTATTCAGTCACATAATAATAAAATAACTGATCAAATATTTAGATTAGATTTCTGAATTTATTTTTCTCTTTCATATTTGTAGCAGTGAGCATTAGTAAATGATGTATTAGGCATACATTAATTAAAAAATAAATTCTTACTTATGGCTGGTGCAATTCCACCAACTGAAGAGGGACCAGGCATATGTCCAGCAACTGCTGCAGCTTGAGCAGCAGCAGCTGCCTGGGCTGTAGCTGCTTGTTGCTGCATCTGTCTATGGCATTGACGGAGATCAAATACCTGAAAAAAACAAAAAAATATGCTATAAGCAAACTTTTGGCAATTTATTCAAATAAGTTACAAAATGAAATTAAGTAAAAAAATAAATCATATTCTCTCAAATTACTAGTTGAGCAATATAAAGAGTATTCATTTAAATATCTATAAGCATCTAGAGCAGTGATTTTCAACCAGTGTGCCATGAAAATTTTTGAAGGTTATTAAATACACTATTTTTGGGAGGGTGAGTGCTAGCCACTGGAAGTATGGGTGAACTTTTGGTGAAGCTTGATAATTGAGTGTTTTGAGTGAATTGGAAGACCATAAGAAGTTGAATTATGCCAGAAAGTATTGAACATTTGTTAATAGGTTATCCTGGATTTTGATTGCTGGATTTATTAATAATTGCTGGGATTGAGTCTAATCCAGGTCCTTTGCCTCAATCTCTACAACAGTTGTGCTAAGAAGATATGCAATATATGGGATCAAAAAACATTATTTACAAATTAGAATGCAGCTGTACCATACCTAAATTTTATATAAGGGAAACTGGCAGGAATTTGAAGATTTATCTTAAAGAACACATATCCACACTTAAGTATAACAACAACAACTCAGCCGTAGCAGTTCATTGTAACAGTGAAGGATGTCAAATAAGTATAGACACTGTTAAAATAGTCAAAAAAGAATCTAACACAAAAAAGAAGATGGTATGAGCATTTGGAAATACAGTTGTCCCTTGATAATCCGACAGGTATAGGACCAAAGGTGTGTCAGATTACCAAAAGTGTCCGGATTACCGAAAATAATTACATATTTCGCATTGTTTTGCTAGCAGTAACTTACAATATTCTCTACTTCAACTGTTCGAACAGAACTGCTCACCCACAACTCCTGCTTACCGTGCAGATGTAATTGGCAACGCAACTGGCAACGCATCTGCACGGTAAGCAGGAGTTGTGGGTTCGAGTCCCGCTCCGGGCCGATTTTTTCTCTCAGAATTGCTCACATAAAACACACGAAATGTGTGTCATCGAGTAAGAATTGGATGGGGAGATTCATATCGCGACATGCTTCTGTGCAAGCAGACACATAACGGGGACGGGTACCTTGACGGGAGGTGCGTCGGACTACTGAGCATGTCAGATTAAAAAAATGTCGGACTATAGAGGGACAACTGTAATTAAAAATAAAAATAAAATTATGGATAACAATTTTAGTCTAAAATTACATGAAACATGATACCCATATCTGACCAAAAGGGGGATGGAGGAAGGGGGAGTGTATAAATAAAAGGAAAAAATGGCGGCAAATTTCTGTTTTTTTTTTTCTACGAATCGCTTCATCATATTATAGTTCCACTGTAGACAAGTTTATGGTCTTGGTGTCTTAATGGTGAAAAAAGGTTTTTATTTCATTGTTTTAACGGTAAAACTGTTAGCTATGTTGTAGTTTTAACAGTGTCCTTCATTGTGTATACTGTTTGCCTTTCACTGCTTGTCTTATTTATATTACTTTATGTATCATACTGACATGTTTAATGTAAATTTACAATTTTTACATTTACATTATATATACTGTATTTTTAAATTGTTAACATTCTACTGTTATTATAGCAAATACTGGGAAATCAATAATTTGTACTCAGGTTTTGTACCAATTGTCATCCTTACTGTACATTTCATAAATATGTAAGTTAAATTACAAAATTTCTTAAAATAGATTTTTCCTGTTAACATAATTAAACTTGTATGCATTATTGACAAGACTATGTCTCATTTATAAAATCATGGTGCTGTTACGAGTACACATCTTAGATGTATAAGGGAAACAAGTCAGGAGTTGATTTTTGGTACAGAGTATTTGGTGCCCAAATCATGTGCACATAAAAAAACCCAGACTTGTAGCTAGTCAGGGGACTGAGAACCAAGTCAAAATAAAATACAAAATGGTGACACTCTTTCTACAAACAGGCACTAGTGCGAGATTTGCACATGTGTATATTGTTGAAAAGTTGGAAATGCAAATGTTGCAAAATCAAATTTTGACGAACAAATCTTTGAAAAAACCCATTTACCTTTCTGGTCTCAACCTGCTGACCTTGACTGGTTCACCAGATATATCTCATTTCAGCATCATAATATTTTTGAAACTAGATGGCACTAATTGTTATAACTTTATATTAAAAGTAACTTCTGAAATATAATTTTTTTTGTTTTTACATTTATTAATATATTTATTTTGTTTATGCAAAATAAAAAAATAATTTCGGATGATACAATAGCCATGACTTTTTTTTACAAAATTGGGAAAGTTTTGTTAGGCATCAATAAAAATTCAACCTGGAGCAACATGAAATGGACAGAAATTGACATTGGATAGGTTAATTTCACCGAAAATGCCTCACGGTCATGGCCAGTGAAGTTTGAACGATCGGATCAAACCATGAGTCTTGAGACAGTATTGTCCCAAAAATCGGCCTTGCTGTTTTACTTGTAGTTACATCATAAAGAGTTGATGAGGGACTAAATGTCCAAAATGAATGCATTTTGGACATTTAGTCCTTCATCAACTCTTTGGCTTTTTGTTGTTGCTAGGCTTATTAGACCATCATTCAGTACAAGACCAGCTTTAGGAAAAGTGATTTTATAAAGCTGGTCTTGTACTGAATGATGGTGTAATAAGCCTAGCAACAATGAAAAGCCAATATAGCACTTACAAATTTAATTGTACACCAGGCAAGAAGTGTATTATTGAATTAACCTAAAATAATGCCAACTACAGATGGGAGGTATTCAAATGTAAGAATTAGGAACTATTCTATTCCATAAAGTTTTCATTGTTCCCAAAAACTTGTGCTAGGTACTCAAATATGAGCTCATGACAGCAAACAAGCCAATTTGCATTCCAAAAACTAATATCTAGATTTGCCATCAGAGATTTTAATAGCATTTCAATAAGAGAGAGACCAAGATAGTCTGTGGTCTTGCTTCTCCAGGAATTTTAATACTATAATTAATCATTTACTTCAATCTCTAATTATCAACATATTAATTAACTTATACATATATCTTTCAAGACATTATCATAGAGAATTGTATGCAATACATATATATATGTTGTTTAATAAATATTTTAGGTCAAAACTTGTTATATTTTGACATATAGTTCATAGATCATTAGATCTTCAAAACTTTCTGTATTTTTAAGAAATCAATCTTCAAAAATTCTGTATTCTTACAGCAAACTTTATGTATAATGAAAACCTCAAGAAAAATATAATACAGTAGACCCCCCTATAACGCTTAGATACGTTCCACGCTAACCGAAAATTACGTTGTAGGAATGAGCCAATCGCAGCCCGATAGGTGGGAACTTTACGGACTAAGGCTGTTCGAAAGGTTTTCTTCTATAAAATTAACCGATTCTAGACTAATTCCACTCAACATTTCCAAAATACGTATAATTTTTTGGGAATAATCTGTATAAACTATGCTATAAACAAAAAATTGTAGGATTACTTACACCGTTCGACTACGCCGTTGCTTAAAGCTGGTTTTCATCGCGGAACAGCACGCGAAACGACGGCCGCAATTTCTGATAACGAATTTTTGGCGGAAAAATAACTTGACCTTTGGAGACATCATTAATATAAATAATTTTTATGGACGTTGAATAAGAAGTGTTTCTTTCACAAGAAATGTATAAAATTAGTGCTGTATTAGACTTACGGTACCTAATTTACATACTGTGCAGACGATAATAAACTCAACTTACTAGCCTAAAATCTCCGTAGCGTGTTGCCAGGCGGCAGAAAGCATATATATAATTATAATAAAGTTACAATAAATTAAGTTAATATATAATTATATATACAGTACCTAATTTATATATAATTAATATATAATTATATGTACAGTACCTAATTTATATATAATTTATATATAATACTAAACAGACGATAGCAAACTCAATTTAGCCGCTCCGTAGCGTGGCGCAGGGTCGGAGGAAAGTAGTTCGGCTGCTCATCCACTATTGGTCCAGACTCTATCAATCTTGTCGCGAAACGACGTTATAGGAGGTACGTTATACGAAAGTTGCTACAATTTTTTCGCTACGTTATAGGAATTGTCGTTATAGGAACGTACGTTATAGGGGGGTCGACTGTAGTCATATTTTAAAAACATAATACATAATTATATATATAATAAACAATATATATCTTATGTCATCACAAACTTTATAACTTGAAAACTTTTTAATACAAAAGCTTCAATTATAATTCCTGAAAATTTCTTCCTGAAATTATTGTTTATTTTCAATTTAAATGAATTATTAATAAAGATGTAATAATTCAAACTCAATTTATTCTTCATGATTTTTTTCTGTATTATAATGCAATGGCATATAAATCCATACTATTATAGTGATTTTTTTTAACATAATGAAATTTTCATTAGAACTAAAATAACAATCAGCATTATTTTTTCTTATGAAATTTATTTATTTTTATATATTTGAATAAGTCATAAAATAATATCAATTAAAGTCCAGCTATTTACTTTGATATAGGCACTTTGGTATATCTTGTGTACAGCATCACCAGGAGCTCTTCCTGCTTCTCTATCCAAATAATAGCTCTGTACAAATATACTATGATCACTAAGACATCTAACCCAAACATCACCTTCACCTCTAAGATCAAGTTGAACTCCTTTGCCTATATGTAGCCTGCAGATATATATTATATATAAAATATCAATTCATACATATTTCAATAAATAAAATATTTGTTATATCTTTCAGTATCATACCTGGCCTTCTCACTATGTTCTGTCCGATGAACATTTGACAAAGCTCCCAAACAAAATCGATTTCCTCCTGAAGGATCTACATAGCCATCAATAATAACACTACTATATGCTGAAGGGACTTTAAAAGTTTCTCCTACTTGCTGATCAAGTTCAAAATATGCAATGGAACACCAATATTCTGGAGCTTTATAAAGAAATATTTCAGTAAATTTCATTGCTTCTTAATTTTATATGAAATTTTATATTTACTCTTATAAATGAAAATTTAATTTTAAGAAGTAAAATTAATTTTAATTAGATTAAATTTCACATTTAAAAGTATCTTTTTGAACTTTTAACTTTAAAACTACACAGTTCTGCGAATTTTTAATTAAACATTATGAAGAACTCATTTATGTTTAAAAATTTAATTACAAAATTTTCTCTCATTTTTCTTTATTTTTATAAAATTGAATAAAGTAATATATAACAGAATAGTAAAATAAAATTTAGTTCAGTTTACTATTTTGTTATATTAAACTATCATTATTATTATTATAATTATTCTAAAAATGTTTAAAACAAATAATTCTTTCTTCATTTAGCTTCTTGTTTGGACTTGTACTAAAATGTTATTTCAGCAACCTAATAATGCTGTTTTTTCCCAAACTTATCACAATGACTTCTGTATATTATAACAGTATTTTTTAATTCTTTTTACGTATCTTTAACAAAATGCATTTTGGACTCTTATCGTCCTTCTTCAGCTGTTTTAGTTGTTAAAAAGTTTGTTAACTTAAAAAGAATAAAAAAGTGTTATAATATATGGAAGTCATTGTGATAAGTTTGGGAAAAAATGGCACTATTAGGCTGCTGAAATAGCATTTTAATAAATTAGTAGTAAAAATTTATTTTTACATTAAAAATCATTTTGAATTCAGTTTTAAATATTATAAATTATATAGTTCTAAGTAAAATGTATAATTCATAATACAATAAAATCAAAACCAAATAATTGCTGAATTAGATTAGGCTGAATTACTACTACTAATTAAATTTATTAATAGTGAGGTTGAGGCCGAAGTTTTAAACGTGAAAACGTGTACATTGAGCACCGCTTTCCTGTAAGCGTAGAAGTTTGACAATAGTGTTTGGAATGTCGAGCATGATTCTACTGACTATCCAAACACCATTGTCAAACTTCTAGGCTTACAAGAAAGTGGCACTGAATGTCCAATATACATGTTTTCGAGTTTAAAACTTCAGCCTCAACCTCACTAATGTTATATTATTAACATTTATTAATATTTAATTGTTAACAATTAATAATAATTAATTAAATATTAACACATTAAAGCCAAGTTTGGCTTTAATTAACTATTGGGCTTACAGATGTTTATATTTGTAATAAAATCAAAAGTCCCTATATAACTGAAATTGTGAATATTACATAGAATTATTTTGTAGACATACCTGGCTGAGTTGATAATGTTCCTTGCAAAGTCATATCATTATGTAATTGATTAGGATGTTGCCCTTGAAAAATAATTAATTACATTTACTACTTTCAAATAAAATTATTAAAATAAGAATCTTAAAAATTCAACTTATAATTCACTAAATTGTTCTTACAATAACCTGGATGCTGAGGCCTCAAAGAAGCATCTGGAACAGTTGGGACTGATGCTGGCACTAATGGCTGAACTAGATTTGCACTACTGCTACCCCATACATTTGTTGCTAAATAAGTATTTATCATTACTTTTATTTATTTCTCATTTTGATTAAGCAATCATTTTTAATATTAAACAGAGAGAGAATGTAGCATATAACTGAAAACAATATTTTAAAAGTTACCAATTGTATTAAAAGACTGAGATGTTTGGATAGATTCCATAGAATTACTACCATTCTGTTGTAAACTGTGAGTATCAAGACAAGATGTATCACCAAGACNTAACAAAACTATATCATCATCATTGTACTACTAGAAAAAATTTGATAGAAGAAAAGATTTTAAAATAATTAAAAGCACTTTCACTCACATATGACTCAAAAAACAACAAACTGAATTCTTAACTTTTAAACAAATTGTTTAGCCTCATGAAATATGTAAACTGTTTTTGTGTTGGATTGAATCTTTGCAAGACAAAGACAGAAGACATATGATTATAATGATATTCTTATAATTTCATTATAAAATGTATTTTTGTATAAAATTTGTTTCCTACATAACACTGTATTGCAAATAAAATTTGAAATATAATAATTTTGAATATTTTATAAAGCAATATGAAGAACATTTAATAAATTTTCAAACCTGTAATCTTCCATCAAGAGTCCTTTGTATTGTCACACATTTACTTGGATGTGCTCCATTTGTTGTAATAGCTGTTATTAAGCTATCTAGTTCATCACGTTTCTCTTTCAACTTTTTCACTAAACTTTCAATAGCTCTTTTAGAAAAACTCTCAGATTCTCCACCTTGACGATGACACATTAAGCTATGAACAATGCTGAGGCAAGCATCTGCAGATGTTGGGGCATTTGAAGTCATCTTTAAATACTTATGTAATAAACAATCTATGTCAATATTTTTATTAACTTCTTAAATGACTTTTCTTGTATTAATCACAGAAATAATCTTAAAATATATTTTGATTCAATAACAAACAATAAGAGAAAAGTTCTCCATAATATGTTCCAGTTCTGTTTAATATTTTTTACTTTAATGTAAATAAAAATTGTAGAATTTTGTTTAATTTTTTCATTCATTTCTGAAAAAATATTCTAAATGTTTACATTTCAAATTAAGAAAACAACTTTTAAATTTACCTGAACTTGTTTTAAGTAAACAAAGATGATAAAATATATTTTATTTATACCATACCAGATAAATATTACTTGTGAAAATTTTTGTCATATAAACTCGTAAGTAATAGCTTACTTCAAAGCATACTTGTATAATCTAAAAAAGTTGTTAAAATCCTTCATTATAACTTACTTGTTTGTTGTAATGTGAGACTGGATAAATCTGGAAAAAAATCAGTAATATATGAGATTCTACATTAAAGTTATAAAAATAAAAATATCAAAAACATACCAATTCCAGGTGATACAACTCTTTCATAATGGTATGGGTTAACACAGACATTATCACATTTCAGATCAAATGCATATTGACAATACTTAACATGTTTTAATTCATTTTTATGTAAATCTGGCCAACGCCATATTCGAGCATATATCACATGAGGAAATCCTTTACGACCAGCCACCTATAAAGATAAAGAGTAATAGACAAATTTATATTTAATTAATGTATAATACCTAGTAATTGATTTTTCCATAATAATTGTTTAAATTATGGGATAATTATTTCTATAACACTAAGTGAACATAAACAATTATGGAAAATCCATAATAATGGACATCTCTATACATATAACAAATAATCTTTAAGCAAATATGAGTTTGGTTTTAGATTATTTCTTATGTAAATATAGAATCATGAATACAAGTTTTCTATTTTCCATAAATTTCTCATCTAGGAAAAGTAGAATATTTAAAATTAAATTTATGACTGAATTCCATAAAACTTAAAAAATTAAATAAAAATAAGTAACTTTGNTTAATCTACAAGAAATTATCAGCAAAATATTCAAAAAATTTTGGTCACTTATTTGTTACAAATTTATATTTAAAAAAATTAATATCTATTGTTTTTCCACTTTTATGAGTTCTCATTTATCAAGATGAATAGAAATGTTAGCTATTTGTATAGTCATTGACAATCAAAGTTAATTCTGCTTGCAATATTCTGGTATTGTGAAAATCATTCTTTACTGTAATTTTTAGATAATCTGCAGAAAGTTGCTAAAATGGAAAAAAATCTTTGCATAATCTACCCTACCTTGTTTCTGCAGTAGATAGTGAAAATATGGCTTGTTTACCACTGACTTGCTGTGTAAAAGAGACCATCTCAAACATTTAAATGTTTTTTGTTAAGTGGTGATCCACAGCATAAAATCTTTAACAGAAATCACCATCTTAGATTTTGTTTAATTTCAGTTTCCTGTACTTTATCATAGGATTCCACATCCAGAAAATTTTCAATGAAAATTTTACTGAGGTAGTTTTATCAGTTTTTTTCAAATATAGCCTTATAATTTTAATCTAATTTATTATGCAGGATGGTTTCAAAATATGGGGACAAACATTGTATTTTCCTTTGGAGGTGTTCTAGTTTTGTGTGTGTCTGAAATGTAACTCCAAATGAATATGTCTTTATTGGAATGACATGTGTTGATAGCTTTAAATATGTGTTTTGTATTTAGCTGTATTGTTAGTACCTGTATTCAGTTTATTGAGTATCATTGTGTACTGTCCTCACTCACACACACTGTGATCATCTTTGTGATGCTCACAGTGTGTGTGAGTGAGGACATAGTTGAGTCAGTGTTGCATTCACTACTGATGGCCAAGGGAGATTGACAGATTTTTTAAATGTGACTCACTGTTTAACCCATAAACATGGACCTTGTTAACCTAGGTAACTAATGAGCAGTATCATGCTGCAAACATGTAACAATCATGATTTTTGTTATCTCCACAGAAGTGAGTGCACTAAAGACAGTTGCCCCTAACATAGGAAACAGATGCTGCTAAGCAGCTATCCACTCTGGATCAGATGCTGCTTTCAATTCTCCCCATAGACCTTTCACTGACATGGGTGGACCTACTGGAAGCTTATGGTCCTGTTGGCTTTGTTTTAATTTATTGGGACTACTGAGCTCTCGCTTTCAACAAGATGATGACTTGCAAGAGAGATTATTATTAAATCTAACAGAAATGAAACATTATGATAAAAATTTTTGTCCCTCTGCACTTCTGCAGTACTCTTTCGAATAAAAGGTGTGCCTCTTTCAACACAAATTATTTAAGCTACAGATTAAAGTTTTCAGATATTTATAATATCTATCCTCAGGTCCTTACAATCAAACATTGAAATATTTGAATATTTCAATGAAAACATCCAAAAACATTAATCTGTAGTTTAATAAATTTGTGCTGGGATTTAAGGTTTTGTGAATATTGTTTTTAACAGTATCCAGTTGAACTTGAAAGATGTGCTTCTTTATATGGAAAAGACTTGACAAATTATAATAGACTATCCAATAAAGTGCTGAAATTTAAAAAAAATTCAAATACAGTTTAGAAAATATTATAAGATAAAAAACTGGCACTGATTTAATGTGTCTGAAACTCTCACAAACACAAAGGCTACAGACTCCATGATGCTTGTGCTATAGATGCAATAATAATTCAGTACCATTCTGTCATATATATTAATACATGTTTGTTGTGAGTTCTTTGCAACTTATATGGAAAGTGTCTTCACTTCAATTGCAATTATTGATATCTAATGATCTTAAATTTCCAGTTCACAAAGTACTCATTTCTTCTTTTTATCACCAAACTAAGTGTGTGCAGTGCATCAACATAATTTAATAATACAGGTGTATGCATAATTGTTATCAATTCAGTAGTTTTGTCACTAAATCTAGATATTTTAAATATTTATGGCAACAAAAATTTTAAGTTTTCTATTGCTGATACAGAGATTTAGTGATGTTTTATGTTCTTTAATAACAAAAAAAAATTTATATTACTAATAGAAACTATAAAAAGGAGTGACTCACATTAACCAATTAACTGAAGTGTATATGATCGATATTTGTGAACATTTTTGTAGCCCCTTCTGGGCTCTTCCTCAGGCTTCTTTTTTGTTCCAAACAAGTTGGCAGTTAACATTCGAAAATACATCAAATGGTATTAGTTTGGAATATCATACGCACAAGTTCCAAGTTGTTTAAATAATATTGAACAATACAATGAGTTCGGATGCGCATGCATTTCACTAAATATGATTGCAAATTAAATATTATTGTCTAGTAAGATCTGCCATGCCATCGAAAGGCACATCTCCTCCTTAAAATTAATGCAGGTGGTTCTGCATCCAGCCTTAAAAATTTCAATTGTCTCCAACCATTTGAGGTGCAAAGTGGTAAGAATAATACAGGTTCTGGTGAAGTCTGCCATAATATCCAGGTCTGTCACATAAGTGGAGGGGGCAGTTGTACCCTATTATGTTGTATGTCAGATTTATGCTCCTTTATCCTGACCCTCACTGAACGTTTGGTGGAGCCAACATATGCCATTTCCCTATCCCATCTGTTTTCTCTGGTATGGATGCTATAAATGCCTGGTAGTCTGTCAGGGTTAGGATGGTCTTTTCCATTATGCAGTATGTTGAAAATGGACAGGCATCTCCTGTAGGCAATATTGACCCGATGTCTCTTGGCAATTGTGGTGTACAATGATTTTAAATAGGGGTTAAATGTAAGGATCCCCTCACTTTTAACCCCTATTTAAATTTAACCACCACAAATCAAGATCATATCTAAAGTATACTGGAGATTGATAAAGATTGAGAACTGATCCTCATCAGGAGTGATCAAAATTTTATCTCATCAGGAGAAGAGAAAAAAACCTTTGATGCAACACTAACTACATGTGGGATGTTTGTTTTACAGAATCAGATCGGGTTTAGCATGTTATACATCTATATTGTTTATTTGATGTTAGAATACAGAATGGATAGAAAATATTATTCATTGTGCCAAAAAGATAAAGTATAAGAAGAATATCTTAATGGAAGGATCACTACAAAAAGATTCATTAAATAAAGTTTAAAGAGAATGAATTGTGATCATGTGATTGTGAATGTATGGGAAAGAAATGTAGTGTTATGAAACCCTTACTAACTGAAAATGCTAAAGATTCCTCAGTCATAAACAAAGATAAGCCAAATGAACTGCAGAACTAGTGGATACATATACATTATGTGTTATTGTGAAAAATTCAGAAACAGACAGGCCTAATCTGTT